AAGGAAATCGAGGGCGCGCGGCACTCCCGCGTGTAAGGAACCCGCCTGGTCCAACATTTGTTAGTACTGGTCTCCTCAAGCAAAGTTGGTCTGGGTCGGTCTCCTTAACCCTCGCGTGGACTTGTCCCCTAAACCTGTGTAATACTTTCTCTGGAACAAGACCATCCCTTCAAGTCCACATGTCACTTCAATCCCAAGAAAAAAACCTAAGTTCTACAAGTTCCTTCACAACAAATTCATTGCACAATCTTACCTTTAGTAAAGTAATCTCTACTCATCATCGTCGATGACAATGATGTCATCAACAAATACAAAAAATATAGTTGTGCGGCATTCATGTCATCGAAAGAACATATGATCTATATTGATCTACTGATATTTCGCGCCCACCATAATCTTTCTAAATTTGTCAAATCATGTTTGAGGAAACTGCATCAAGCCGTACATTGACTTCTTGAGCCTACATATATTGCCCATTGTCTAAATTGTACTGAATTCTCGTAGTATCTCCATATATACCTCCTACAGTAACTCACCATGAAGAAATGCATTTTTTACATCCAGTTGGTGTAACCTCCACCCACAATTCACTATCAGAGAAACCAGTTTTCTCACTGTGCTGATATTTGCAACCAGTGCAAAGGTTTCATCATAGTCAATGACATGTTTGTTTGTACCCTTTTGCCACGGGTCGTGCTTTGTAACGCTCCACCTTCCTTTCCAATGTTTTGTTTCACTGTGAAGATCTACTTGCACCCAACTGTTTTTTCCCCGCTGGTAGTAGCACTATCTCTCACGTTTGATTTTTATCAAAACCCAAAGTTTTTCATGCATAGCCACTTTTCACTTGGGATCCTAATTAGAGATCTATCAATATTTTCATATAGAGACAGTGTCCAAAGATGCAATAAATGTTTCATGTAAAGATGATATGTTAGAATATGAAACATTGTTGCGACAGGTCCTTAAAGTTAACAATGTCAAATTCTAACCCAAAATGATCGGCAGGATGCCTCGCATTGCTGCGAGAGGTCCTCAAAGTTGGGGGGTTAGAGGAAAAATAAGGAATCATATCACCTGCAGTTCTGAATCGGGAGTGGATGGTGTAGGTGTCTCAAAAATCGAGGAAGATTAGGGCAAGTAACTAGTAGGCCCAAATGGCAAAGTAGGCATCGCTCCCTCATTTTGCTTCCTTCACCGTGTACAAACCCTTAGCAGACCATCAGCTTGGATCACACCAGCTCTCATTTTTTGATTTTTCAACTAATTCATCCAACATCACATGACAAGGCATTGTTGCCACATATACCACTCTCTCACCATTGTTACTCACCCCCTTGCCACATATCTTAATTATTTGGCGAACCACCGAAGGGTGGGGTCACCTCTTGGGTGTAGTATGATTCAAATTCTCTAAATAACACATTTATGCTCACAAACAACATCTTCTCTATTGGGTACAAGCAAACATATCCTTTATGGGCAGTTGAGTAACCTACGAACACACATTTCACATCTCTGGGATCCACCTTACCGATCGATGGCCTGTTATCCTTCACAAAACATACACATCCAAACAGCTTCAATAGGATGATCTCACTATTATCTCTCTTCAACATCTGACAAGAAGACTATCAATAAAACACCCTATAGGGTATCCTATTGATCAATTGAGCAGCTGTTCAAACTTTTTTCCTCATAAGCACTTTGGGACATTTATTACGGTCATCATGTTTCATGTTGTCTCTAGAATGTATTTATTCTTCCTCTTTGCTGCTCCATTTTTTATGTCGATGTGCATGGGCATGTGGTATGATGATGATCTCTTAGGCTTACAAGTATTCCACAAATAGTATACTTTGTCTCATTATCAAACCTCAATACCACTGCACCATATTGAGTCTGAATAATCATGCGGAAGTCTTTGAAGAAAGAAAACACATCACCCTTATTTTTGATCAAATAACACAAGAAAAACAATCAATAAAGATTACAAAATATCAGAATGCATCAAGTGAAAAATAGCATAACTTCTATACTCATAACTGATATAAAATCTTCTAGTAGCTTACCAAGCTCACAAGCATCATAAAACAGTTTTTGTTTATTTATTTTTTCATACAAAAAATGGTATAACTGATTCAATAAACTGAAACAAGAATATCAAATGCATCTATGATGTAGCAGCAACACGTCCTCCACACTCCTAAATTTTTTTACTCCATCTCTCTCTAACATGGATGTCAAAGCCGAGTTAATACCCTCCCGGTCCAAGTACAAGAGTCCACAATGTCACGTTCTAGTCATAAGTGTCTGGCTCATCTCTTTTTCTTGGAAGATCATCTTAAAAATATCAAAATAAACAACACATTTTAGTTGGAGAAAAATGACACAAACGGATAAAAGGTTCACTAGAGAAAACATATAATGCAAAACATTGGACAAAAGCATATAATTAGGACCTCTCATTGTACCCTAACTAACTAAAGATTGTGTTGTATCATCAGCAGTTTAGATGTTATATGGTATTAATAGGGGAGTATAAGAAGAAAACTCTCTAACAGTACCTATCATATATCCAGATGCACCAGCATCTACTATCAATTATGATGATCTTGTGGTAAAAATAGAGGCAAGAGCATGTGTATCACAAGTACATATGTCAGAGTGAGCATAAGTGGCAATGTTACTTATTTATGACACCCGGTTGGAAAAATTTTCATCCCCATCTCATGTTGTTTTCTGCTTCTTCAATAACTTCAAACACTCATGATCATCATTAGTAAACACCACAGATATCCCTCCCTCCTCTGCTACCATCAGATTGGTCTGGTAGCCCCATTTTCCACCTTTTTGATCATCACGGCCACCACCCTATCTACGTCCACCCGTCTCTCTCTTTAAGTGGCTTATGACAAGTCTTGCTAGATGTTCAACTTCACCACAGTTGCAGCACTTGTGAGTCTCCCCTTAAACACCTATCATACCTAAGCTCCAGAAAGCCAAAGTTGATCGTGCACCCTGAAGAAGAGTATAGCTTCATACGACTCTTCTCCAATCTCATTGCAACAATGGTCTCATCTAGTAAAGAGATAGTAGCCTAAGCTATGAAGACATATCTCCTATGATCAAACACCAGGCTCAGATGTGTCAAAAACTGCATAGTCTTCATCATTGCAAAGATCTTTCATTTCTTGCACTCCAGATCACCACAGCTCGACATCTGTGAGGAGTGATCAAGATCTGCCCATAGCTGCTCCAACTCTATGGAGTACTCCTGAATCGATCTATCACCCTGGACTACTACCTCTACCTCGCGCTGAATCTGAAACACCCTCACGTGGTTCTCAGCTCTAACATAGATCTTTTTCAACTTCGCCAGGATGTCGCTAACCTTTCAAATATCATCTACTGATGAGGCAATCCATAGAATCATCAAATTGAGTATTCAGGTGTAAAGCAAGGCATGTGTGGTCCTCCACTCATCCCTCAACACTAACACTTTTTGGCTCGACCCTTATTAGATATCCCTCAAGTCTCTTCCCAACTAGAGCGGTCTCGATCTGATATGATCAACTCAAATATGTGGCCGGTACATCAAGTTTCAGATAGACATGAGGGAGATCTAGCTTCACCTGTGTCAGAGCATGTACTAAGGAGGCGGCTCCCGTTGAGATGCTAGCTCCATGTATGAGTCCGACCAAGACCTTCAGAGTTTCAGTATTCATCTTTCCCATAAACTCCAATCCTTTACCTCCTGCACCATCTCCTCCTAACATCCTCAATCACGAAGATGCAAGTCTAGATCACCTGCGACTTCCTCTATCTCGCACGCAAAACTACACCACCGCAATCTTCTTTTCCACACGAAAATGTCATGTTAATCTTTTTTGTTGCGCAAGACAAAGTCATGCTTTGGTTTTGTGTCGCATGGGTGGTGCGGTGGGTCAAGCATCTCTATTGCTTCCCTCATCATTCCCTCGTTGAAACCAAGGACGGCAGAGTACAAAGAATCAAGTGGCTTTATCTGCTTCCCTCGTCGTTCCCTCGCCAAGAATAGGGACGACGCTTTTGTGACACTTGGGCAACGCGAAGGATCGAGCAACTGTGTATGCTTCGCTCGCCAATGGTTACGGAGACCTCCTCGAGCCAGCCGATGGGAGCAATTTGAGCCTCAATGTCCTTATCTTCTCTTGTGCAAAAAAGAACTGCTATCTTCTTCTCTCCATTTCGTCGGCTATTGCCCGAATCCGTCACAATAGAGTTGGGACAAGTAGCGGAGCTAGGGTTTAGCTTTGATACTAACAAGAGAATAGTTCAAAATTTTCTTTGAACATTCATAACATGGGCTTAAATAGGGTATTATAATGTTTTACAAAGAAACCCCTAGACTCCTTCAATATTTCCTTTTTAGCAATAGAACCCTAAGGAGGTGTTTGGTTGTAAGGAGGATTTAAGTTAAATAAGAGTTAGTAAATCTGGTAAATCCAAATTTAATAAAACTAAATATCATTAAATCCAAAATAATGTTTGATTCAATTAAAGTTAATTCAAGTTAAATCCATTTTAGGTGTTTGGCATAAATCTATTTGAAATATTTTTTTTTCTACACTAAATCCGTTAAATCCAACTAATAAGTGGATTTAGTAAATCCAGATTTAATTAAAAGAACAAGAAAAAATTGGATTTAACTTAACAGTGGATTTATCTAACTTATTTATGGTGTTTGGTTGGATTTAAGTTAAATCTAACTTAAATGTTGTGAAAAGAATCGTAAAATACCTCCAAAAAAAGGCCCAATTCTCAACACATTCCTCTCACTAAGCCCGAAGAAATGATAGTCAAATGAATTTAAATGCAGTGCTCTAAACAAACTATTATCATCCCGTCTCCCAATCAGTCGAACGCAATAAATAAAATGCTCCATAAAAACTCGAAAACAACAAGAAGAGTGATAAAATGGCTAAAAGAAAAAAGAAAGGGTGACAAGAGTATCTTACCGGTTTCCTCTAATGAACAGTTCCTGGTCGCCGCAATCGAAGGGTGAACCGGTGGAAGAGAAATCGCTGTCAATTGGGAGGAGATCGTCCCTCTCGCGAGTGACCTCAGAACCAAAAAGGAAGTAGGCATACTTCTCTGACACGTCCGCTGCTGGCTTACCGTCCTGCTCCTCGGCTGTGAGGCCAAAGGGCTTGAACTCTCGAAGTACCGTGAGCTGCCGCACTCCAATGGACATCTCCGACAGCAAAAATCGACGAGCATAACAGAGAATAAGGGCTGTTTGGTAGCCGGTTCTAAGCAGGATTTATGCGGGATTTTAACTAAATCCTGCCAAACGGCAAAAAATGCCTCCTAAAATCCTGAACTCCCATAAATCCCGCCGCCGATTCGAGATAAATCCAGGATTTACTAAATCCTGTGAATTGGCAGATTTAATAAATCCGGGAATAGCCAAGAGGAACAATTGCGCGAACAGGCTTACCTTCCTCAATGGTTTCTGGTAGGAGCGGAGAGGAAGGATGAGAAAGATGGGAGTTTCGGTGGTCTCTGTAAACAGCTATCCCGTCTTTTGCTTCGCAGCTACCTCTAATGGCGACTGTATCGCGGAGGTTCGCTCCCGAAGAGATGGTTTTTGGGCGAGGGAAACCAGTGGAGGGACTGAGAGAGTGACATAAGCGAGGGTTTTGGGCAGAGAGAGGAAATATTACATCAGTACTAAGCATGGGTAGCCAATAAAATAACGCCACGACATCCTGCGCAATAGAGAAAAAAAACGGCGCAGTAACACGGGAAATATTTCCCTTCGTGTTATTAATGTGTTATTGTGTATTATTCATGTGTTATTGTGTTCTAGGAATATTCTTGGTGTTATAATAACACAATAACACATCAATAACACATCTGTCGGGAATATTTCCCGTGTTATTCAAGTGTTATTGTGTGTTATTCATGTGTTATTGTATCATGAGAATATTCTTAGTGTTATAATAACACAATAACACATCAATAACACATGAATAACACGCAATAACACGTGAATAACACGCAATAACACGTGAATAACACGCAATAACACGTGAATAACACGCAATAACACGTGAATAACACGCAATAACACGTGAATAACACGCAATAACACGTGAATAACACGGGGAGGAATATTCTCCGTGTTACTGCGCCGTTTTTTTCTCCTATCGCGCGTAGCGTGATTTTATTGGCTACGCACGGTATTTCTAAGTGCGTAGTACTGATGTAATATTTTTTCTGGGCAGAGATGCAAACTTTGGGCGAGCCGGGAGAGGGAAAATTATTATATAATGCAGTTGCCTATCCAATATATTTCCGTCACTTGTAAACTCCGGTCTCACCTAATACATTTAGGGCTGTCAAAATGGCTCCCTGTTTCCGAACAGCTCGTGTTCGATTTTTTAAGAAGTTCGTGTTCGACTCGTTAATTTTGTTTGATAAGTTAACGAGCCGAACATGAACTAAGATGTATTCATTCGTGTTCGGCTTGTTTTGGCTCGAAATAATGCTCATCAAGTTTATATATATATATATAT